TTTTTTTTCCCCAGATAAAATCAGTTGGTTTGGTACCTTTTTCAGTGCCCAGTGGCTCTTCAGGTTTTCAGAGTTTAGATTTAAACTTTACATGCTAATAATGCCTGTTTATAGTATTTTTAGTTCTGTGTAAGCAAATACATTTGAGTTGAGATTTCTAAGAGGCAATGCCCTGTAGTATTCAGAAGTTACTGTACAGAAAAAAAATCCTGTGTCTGAGGAGAGCCATGCCCTGGATCTTTGTGGGTACATGTTTCATTCCAGTCGCCACCAAATCAGCCACTTATTGCAGCTTTGCCTCCTTTTAGGTGCCAAAATAATCAGTTGGCTTTTAGTGTTTACAGCTACCTGCAGTGAGATGGCTCCTGGCTGCCTCCACGTGCTGGAGTGATCCCACCCAAGGCCTTGGAGAGGTTCCTCTTCCCCTTGCCCTGCAGCTTGGTGTCCTCGTGTGACTCCCCCAGCACACAGCAGTGTCCTGGCCTGACTCCCACCTTCCCTGCATTTCCCTTGAGGGGCAAGGGCTGTTGGCAGCCATCCCTCCACTCCTGCCCCGGGCACCTCTTCCCTCCAAGGAAGCCTGGCTCTCCAAAGACCTCCCATCAGCTCACTTGGCATGCTGTGCTTCCCTGGCTCTGGTTTTACCAGCAGGGAAACTGAGGCACGGAGCAGTGCACTCACAGCACATCTTTGGGGCCTCCTCTTCTTTTCCCAGCAAAATGGCACAAATAACTGGTTGAACACAAAGGCAGGACCAGGTACTGCTGTGATGCACACCCAGCACCAGCTTGGGGTTGCTCTTGGCAGCTTGGTGTGGTGTAGCTTGAGGACAGTCGTGTGTCCAGGGTGGCAGGGGAGGAGGGTGGAGGTCCCAGCTCTCATCCAGACCAGCAGCTGAGACCTTCACCTTGTCCACCTCTGCTGAGATCTCATCGTGTGTCTCACGCAGGGACCTGAGTCACTGATTCAGGTGCTGAGGTCAGGCCTTTTCCTGGCTTTGCACCTCGATTCCCTCAGCTGCAGCACGGAGCTGGTGCCATTGCTGTGCTGTGTTCAGCTTTGAGCCTTGGCTAAGCAACGTCCGTAAAGCTGAGGGGTTTCTTGTCTCCCTCAGACCCTGGAGAGCTGCGTGTGTGGCCATGAGCACAATATACCTGTGTCTGTGGTTTTATGCATCTGGCAAAACTGCAAGATCCCAGATAAGAAAAACACCTATAAATACATAAAACTACTGCTGAAACGCTCTCCGTGTCCACCTGCAGCCTCGTCTTGTCTTATGGTGTAAACCCCCCGCTGGAGAAAGAGGGTAAAACTGATGAGCTCGTTTTTATTTTCCCCCAGAAGTGTTTGGTTTCCAAATGGCCGAGAACAGCTGTGGGCTGGATGGTGGGAACGTGGCCTCTGAGGTGATTCCCCTGCTCGCCCCCCAGCCGACGGCAGGATGTCGATTTGCCCAGCTGCTCCCAGGGGCTGGCGGGCACCATCCTGCCCACAGCACCCCTGGTTGCCCCCAGGGCTCCTGGGACAGAAGGAAGGAGCTCTTCTAGGTGACACAAGCCACCCGAGCGCGCTGCCAGCCGAGCTCCAAACTGGCCTCAGGGAGGCTCAGCCCTCAGCACAACCCCTGCCAGGCCCTGTGGGGTGCTGAGCCAGCCCGGCCGAGCCCCACCGCCCACGGCTGTTGTCCCCCCAGCCCCTCGGGCGTGGGGACAGGCTGGGGAAGGGCTCCAGGGCCCCTCGGTGCAGCTGTGCGTGCGCTCAGAGGTTGTTTGTCTGCCGAGGCCGGGATGTGCCAGGCTCCAGGGCTGAGTCATTTGGTTTCTGAAATGCGTGCTGGAGGGACGGTGGAGGAAGGTTCCCTGTGGAGACCCTCACGGGCGGATGGGTCTGCCGGAACTGAGCTGAACTTTCTGCTTGAAAAGCTTTGACTAGAAGGGGGGAAAAAAAAACCCCGTGGCCCAGTGTGGAGAAGAGAAAGAAGCCCCTGTGTGGGGGGAAGCACAGGCCAGGGCTGGGGTCAGCGCCGGGGAGCACACACTTGTTCCTTTAGGGGCTGCAACGTGTAATTTAGCTTGTCAGGGAGGAATGTGCTCAATGCCTTTACGAATCAGGAGTTTGCAAACCTGCTCGGGTGCCTTGTCTTCCTCTTCCCCTTCCCGTCCCAGCCGGGGGCAGGGGGAACACGGTGCTTTTGTCCCTGGCCCTGTGGCTGCTGTCAGATGGATAGTTTTAGTGGCAGCTCTGTTCGCGTGGCTGCTCTGTGCTGTGAGGGGGCTCCTCCCAGCCCCAGCTCCCTCCCAAACTCAGCTGCACCCCATGTTCTCCTAGGCACTGGGGTAAACCCGGCTACTCACTCAAAATGTGGCCCCGCGGGTTCCAGGGCGTGCTTGGGAGAGGGAGAACACCCTGTGGATGTGGCCTGTGGCTTGTTCAGGGCTTCAGATCAGGAGGGGCTGGTGGTGCTCAGCACCCTGAGGAATGGGGTAGAGCTGCAGTTGCTCCAGCTTCACAGAGGTGCCCAGTTCCCTGCTTGCCCACGGCCCCTCTGCAAACTGGGGCCCCCAGTTACCAAGACAGCCCTGCTCAGGACAGGAGGGGGCTCAGGGATGTGTTTAAGTGCTTTCCTGAATCCAGGCCAGGCCCTGTGCTTTTGCAGAGCACAACCTCACTCCTCTCTCCCTCGGTGTGGGGGCGAGGCAGGAGCCCAGATGCTTGGGGATGATCCTCCCTGCCTCTGGCAGTGGGGCTGCAGAACCACCTCTCCATGGAGAGAACACCTCCAGAGGAGGTCCCTGGCAAGCAGGGCTGCCAGCCCAGACACAAAGGTGTGCCTCTGCTGCTGGGCAGAGATGTGCAGAAACCCAGGGGAAAAAAAACCAGCCACCACCTTTCTTTGGAGAAGGAGGAAATTGCTCTTTAATCGGGCATGTGGAAGTGAACTTGTGTGCTGGCTCCAGAGGAATTTCGGCTGTTCCCCGGGGGGCTGTGATTGCTGTTTGGGTCACATCCCAGCTCTGATCTCGGACTTGCCTTTGGGAGCAGGATTCCTCGGTGTGGAGCTGCTGGCATGTGAGGAATGAGGGATGCTGGGTTCAGAAAAGCAAGCAAAGCAAGCGTGGGGCTGTGTGTGTGCAGCTTAGCCCTGGGCTTCTCAGCAGAAACTGCAGAATTCCCCCACGGAGAGGGAAGGAAAGCAGAAGTGAACCCTGGAGGACATAAGTCTTTAACCACACAGCTCTCACAGGCAGCAGTGCAAGTTCAGGGGTTAAACCCCTCTGCTCACCTCAAACCGAGACCTGCAGACCCTGCTTTGTGCAGGAACCCACGGGACTCACAGGAACGAGTGCTGGGAGGATCAGGAAGCCAGGGCTGTGAAGGTGTTGCTGCTTTATCCCACTCTGGTTCCTGTATCACCAGGTAACAAGACAATCCAGCAGAGACCTCACTTGATTCCTGCACAGATCCCGAGGCCAGGGAGCGAGGATGCCCCTTCCTGGCTGCGTCGGGCTGGAGGCTGGGGAAGGATCATGCCTCTCTTGATTCAGATCCAGCAGTTTGGGCTCAGTGGAGGGCTAACAGAGCCTCTGCCCCATAATGACCTCCAAATACCTGAGCTGGTGCTGCCAGAGGTGCTTGGCTGAGGTGAACGTGGTGGCCCTGCAGCAGCAGATGTGTTGGTGAAGTCCACGCTGAGTGACCAGGGGAACACTCAGCCAGAGCCCCCAGCCCAGAGCAGCCCCTGACACTGGTGTCTGATCAACCAGGCAATTTTCCTCTCCTTCCCCAGCAAGCATTCGAGGGCTGGGCCCAGCAGCCAGGGGAACCAGCAGGAGTCTTTCCAGTGTGGGCTTTGGAGCTTCGGCTGGATAAACAACTGGAAGGAAATCACAAATAACGTGGTTCTAACAAATACTTCAGAAAATATAAATGTCTGCCTTTGGCTATGACTCCATCCAAACCCCACAAAGGAAAAAATGTCCCTGTTTCTATGATGCTTTTCCATCTGCCTTTCCCCAGGGATTGGGAGTGTTAGTGCAGGCACCTTGGCTGGGGAAGAAGCTGGCCAGCGAGGAAACCCTGCTTGGGAGTTCCCGGGGGGGGCAGCGACCTTCTCA